TGGAAGCTGTGCTTGTGTAGGTGCACGCCCATTTTGCGCATTATGTGCATGTAGTGGTTGCTGGTCTGCGTGAAGGATACGAGCACTGTGGGCTGCGAGCTGTCGAGTGATGTGCTGAGAATGTGCGGTAGAAGGATGTCCCCTGGCGCTGACAGGGTGCTGGCCAGTAGCGTTGTGGTTTGCGCGGCCGGTTGTCCTGTGGGCCATGCGAGCGCCGCCGAAAGCGTCTTGTAAGTTGCCATTGCCGACTTGTTTGAAAACAGTGCGAAATAATTTTTTGACAAGATATCTTGCCATATTTGGACTGCGCAAAAATAATGGCATCAACACTGTTGAAGACAGAACAGTTTTGGGACAGCCTATGGATTCCAATTATTTTTTCTCTGCATCTTCCAAAGACCGCTCACATTGCTGTGGGTGCAGTGAATGGAGGAATTCGAGCACATATTTTTGGTCATACATGCCTGGTTTGGAATATAGGTTTCAACCTAATCAACTGAGTACACTTAACGAATGTATGGACCTAGAGAACACAATACTTTTTTGCACGCGGAATTGCATATTATTCACATCTTATCAAACAAATGTTAGTCAAAGGTATACTTTTGATGTGTCATAAATAACAGCCAGCCTCTCCTTATATTCATTGGCCACAGCCATATTCGCCCTTAGAGCACAAGTCACAGGTGCAGCACTTGTCGTCGCCCCTAGTCGTAGCGATGTTTCCGATCATTATTTAGTATGGTTTGTGTTGAAGGCACTTGGACATTCGGTTCAACTCGGCTTTGTACGGTCTGGTAAGGCTGCTTCTTGCTAGAGTAGGCTGGAATGAAGTAGAGTTGTTTGTGATGACTGCAACACCAGCACTCGCTCCCGACTGGTCCTTATATACCAGTGGTCATTATTCTCTCATGCACTAGCGTGCATATACAGGAAGCCTTAAATATGATTACAGACTAGAGATGGTGTATTATTCAAGATCTAATGCAAAAGCATGACACTCATAAATCGCTTAAGTCGTTCGTAGAGCCCTGAATATTGATGTGCGAAATGAAACCTGTCCATGTCCAGCCAACATATTATTATTTCAGATCCTCGGCAGAACTATTTGTGAACTCCACCAAGCATGGTGTCATACAAACATTCCGTAAGAATCAATATACTATGCTGTGTCAAGAATATAATACTATTTGACATTGATGTGCGACGCTGGCGCGATGGATCCTGCCGACATTCTCAACCATGGTGGTTCACACCTGCTTGACTTGTCGAGTGGTACTGGTGCTTTTCCTTTTTCTGTTTTCAAGGAATAGTGCCACTAGCACCAATGCTTTACATTCAGCGCTGTCTACACTACATCTGGCTATTGGATTCCGTATTCTCCACGACAATCGTGGATTGAACCCATCCCCGAGCTACCCTCCATTGCTCAGTGGCCGATTCGTATCAACACCTCAGACTCGGCTCGGTTCAAAGGCGCAAGCCACACGTTGATCAATATCAATGTCTATGTTTATCACTGCCAAGGACAGATATCCTCCGCCCTGATTTGCCTCAGCCATTTCGCTCTCTTCTCTGTGACTCCTCTCAAACCTGCAATAAAAATTCTCCTCCATGTACGACAGATACTACGCAGTTGCCGCTGGCCACACCATTGGTGTCTACGATGACTGCGAGTTGGCGCGGGATCAAACAGACGGCTATCCAAACAACGATATGCGTCGCTTTGACTCGCTCGAAGATGCCGAGGACTACATTGACCTAGGTTCAAAGCGTTTCTTTAACCGGTACCGCAGGTATGTGTCGCGTGGGCGTGGACCCTCACACACTCTGTACGTGTACACCGATGGTATCTGCAAGAGCAATGGTCAGCCAGGCGCACTGGGCGGGGTGGGTGTATATTTCGGCAAAAACGATCCAAACAACGTCTCTGAGGTGCTGAAAGGTCCCCGCCAAACGAATATGCGCGCAGATCTGACAAGTGTTTTGCGGGCTATGCAGATTCTGCACTCTGGAATCCGCCGGTACGATGCGAACATTGACTACCGTGTGGTTATCTACACAAAGTCGAAATATGTCTTGCATTGCATGTGTGAAGGGTACGATAGGTGGGTTGCAAATAAATGGCTGACGAGTCGCGGGAACGAAGTGCAGAACCGCAGTCTGATCAAGCAGGTCGTGAACGAACACCGCAACTCACAGCTACGTATTTCGATTGAGCATGCGTCAACCGGTATTGGCAATGTGTGCGCGGAAGCTGCAAATGACCTGGCCAATGATGCTGTGTATAATTACATAGAAGACGAGCATGGCAGCTAATATGACGATGAAGACTATTCAGAATCGGATGAACACGACTTTGGCGACTGCGATTCAAATGAGTATGAAGATTACGGAGACTAGCCCATCAGAAGTACCCACCATTTTAATTAGTCTCCAGACCAGGGTCGAACCTTGACGACCTAGTTCAGCGCCTTACCAGCTTGTGCTTTTGACTAAGCTGTCTGCCTTCAGCTGCTGAATATCCTCTGATACAGACATGAACAATGATAAAATAGCTTCTCAATGATCTCGACCACATAAAGCAAGAGTCTGTTCAAACGAACTTCGCATATGCGCATAGTTGCAAGAATACATCAGTGACCATTGGCCATGAATGCGTGCATGGCACCAGGGGTTTGGCACAGCTATGCACTTAACGCATGAGTTGTACAATGCTACCAGAGGTTTATGTATGTCTTTATTTCCTCAAAAGTCAGAAAATGGGGTTGTCTCTGGCCGCGTGGCCCAATGGATAAGGCGCTTGACTACGGATCAAGCGATTCCAGGTTCGAGTCCTGGCGTGGTCGACATTTCTTTTTTGCAAAATTTTACAACACAATCGAAGTAATTTTTTTACAAAAAGAGGGGCTCCACCGGGGATCGAACTCGGGACCTCTTGCACCCAAAGCAAGAATCATACCTCTAGACCATAGAGCCCTCGTAAGCGCCGAATCCCATCCAATTTGCGATTCAACTTCTGTCGGAATCTGAAAAATATCTCATTTAAACGATATCGATTACTGCACTATACAATGCCCCACAGCGATTCTCTCTTGTAACTATGTGTTCCTCATACGCATTCACTTAATTTCCCATGAGCTACCTGTATTTTGAATACATGCATTGGAGTGCATAGCCCGTCGTTTAGTTTGTTGAGCAGGATTGGTTTGAGGATATTGTTTATTTTATGTTCAACAATATTCAACTCGAGCATGTTGGTATCGTATGGCGCTCATGGTTCTTCGCAAGGATGCCAATTTGTCAATACAGCTTGTCGAGAATATTTATTCATCCATCAAACAGGGATGTTGTTTTAGAACTTCTCCATGCCGACTAGTCGAGGG